TTCCCCTCCCTCTTCTCCTCCCATTCCCTCCCCAACATACACTCCCTCTATTCCCACTCCCCTATCCACTCTCCCTCCATTTCTGTTTAGGAAAAGGCAGGTCTCCCATGAGTCAACAAAACATGGCATACCAAGTTGCAGTAAGACAAAGCACCTCCCCATATATTAAGGCTGGGCAAGATGACCCAGTATGAGGAGTAGGGGAGGACACTCTTCTTATTCCAAGCATAGACAGAACCAGTGGAGCTTGGGGACAAGGATCTATAGCTACATGTTGCTCAAAGTGTAGTGTGTCTTAAGCCTTAAGAACATCTCATTTAAATTATCACAGTAGCACTGCTGGGAAACAGCATCTTGCCATTCTATAGGCAGGATCAATGTGGTAGAACACATATTTACCATTCATGTGATGCCAAGCCCTCATCACTGGGGTTGCACATACTTTGTAAATTCTCCAAAACAACACAAAACCATAGAGAACTATCTCTGCTCTTTGAACACTAATATTCATAAAGAAAAGACACAGCAAATATACTTCGTGTGTCAGGGATAATATATTTTGCCATTCTCAGTCTAATAAAAAAAATAAGTTACTTGAAACATTTCTTATCTATGAGGCAGAATGTTCACATATAAGCAAGTAATTTATATAATTTTTCTACCATGAACCTTGGATGTATCCTAGTCATAGAACTCTTACTTGCTATGTGTAAGGGCCTGGGTACAATCCCAGCATCACAACACAAATTATTCTGAATACTTTTGTTCCTGAAACTGAATTACATATCTTGTCATCCCTCTCTGATTCACAATGGACAAACAAGCCAAAAGTGGGTGGGGGGAGACTTCTGTCATTTGACAGTTGAGGGGTCAGTTTCTTCTTCCTTCAGCCTTTTCAAAGGATAGTGCCAAACAAGCATGGATGGGTGAGCAAAAAATTTCATCAGTGCAAAAATGACAAACTCCTCAAAGGAGAAGCCCACAAAGGCATCAAACTGTTACAAATAGAGATGAGGGTGTTCACTCTATGACAACAGAATACATGTGTGCACAAAACCCATGAAAAAAATCACACATCCACTGCCAAATCAAAGAAAGGTTCTCTAAAGAACTTACATTCTAGAACTTTATTCAGGCTTACAGCAACAGAAATGTCTTGACTCGTGCCTAAATCTAACCCAGCAAAGCTATTTTCTTCAAAAGTAAGGATGTAATACCCTTTTCCAAATGTCTTATTCTATAACTTAATTGCTCCTATAAGAAGCAAGGGGAAAAAACTGTGAGCTATAAATTAAGGAGGAAAATCTAACATAATGGTGAAATAGTGTCCAAAAACTGATACCCTTTTTGCATTAAAATATTCAGGGCTAATTATGATTTTAGCACTTGTTTTTATCCTTGCTTTGTTCACTGGCCAAACTTAAACACTTCTCATCTCCTTCAATGAAAGTAGCGCTATTATGTTTCTGGAAGCATGGGCAGGGTTCCTCAAAGCCTAATTTCAAGGTCTTAATTGGCTGAGGCAATGGGAGACTATACAAAGCCCACTTCACAGAGAAGGGCAGGATTGCCAGGTCACTTGAGAACAGATGAAGAGCTAACTGGAAGCTATTGCTGAAATCTTGCAGAGTGTTCTGGGAAGTTTTACCAAATAGTAACTTACAGAAAATGGAAGCGAACCATCCATCACCACAGTACTGAGCCCAGAGAGGTTGAGCTTGTCGAAACAGAACAATTAAAACATAGAAACAGAGATTCTCACTTAACCACACATCATCAAGCCAAGGAGGCTAAATGAAGACAGGGTACCACTATTGGTTCTGTAATATACTTTCGATTTTAGAGATTCTCAGATTATAAATCCTCGTCCTCTCTAAGGTCCCAAGAAGGCTGCCACTAACACTTTTCTCCATCTGGTACCATGAGACCCACCTTCTACTGTAACATGTGCAAAATTTGAAGAGTAATTCATCATCAATCCATTCATTTCCAACCCAACATCTGTGGTACTACAAGATAATTAACATATTAAATTATCTTGATCCACAAGCAGCTTAATGCTTAATAATATAACCATAATTAATCATTAATAACATGCATGATAATAAAAAGAACTTAGGTAAATTGATTTCTTTGTCATCAACTCTAATTACTGGTAACAAATTTCCCAAACAAAACAGACCAATTTTTATCTGTGTAATTTAGACTCTATGAAAAAGAAAAACACCTAAAATTAAGCTACAAAAACCTTTTAAATCGTTTTATGTTCACATTAACAATAAAGACACACACTAAAAAAATAAATTAAATGGCACCTTACACATTTGGGTTTCCAGTGAGGACTTTTCACTGCTAATTTCCACTTAGCAAGTCAACAGAGAGCTCAGACACTTGCTGACATTTCAATAAGAAAATATAAATTTGTTTTATTTTACTATTACGAGAAAAATGCAATGTGAAGCTAAGTATTCATGTGGTTGTCTTTTTTATTTTTTAGAATGGGTTCCCACACAATTCATCTTTCCTAACTTCATACTCTAGTCCCTCCCTTGTTCCACCAGCTTTATTGATCTTTCTTGCATTTATTCTCTGTAAGTTCTGAGGAAAATCCAAGGTCTTGCTTCTTAACAAATTCTACGCTGTATTAGAGGCAAATATTGTTGACTTGTCTGACTGTTTTCTCTCTGGGTCACCGGAGAACAGTTCTTGAGTCTGAGTTTACTCTAGCTCATTCTTGTCTTCCTCAAGCATTTTGCAGTTGAAAATTTATTCTTTATTGTCTACTGTTCCATAATCAGTTCCCTCAGTTTCAAGCTACCCCCGACAGGAATGAGCAACAAAAAACAAAATACTGTTTTTCTTTATCTTTGCACCAAGCAACAATGACTAGTAATTCTGTAAGTGTCATTATTACATGTATTTTTCTTTGAGTAAGACAAGTTTGAAAAAGTGACGTAATTTGGCAAGTAATAGAAATGGGTGAGTGTGGCTAGACAGCCAATTAATAATGTGCAAACAAAACACAATGGAATCTCACTGCTAATCTATGTGATATAGAAAATGCCTACAGTTGGTGGCCAAGGAATTTCAAAATGTTAAGAAATTTGGGTCAATGGCCAGATATCAGCTCTTTATAAATCTAAAATATAACACACAATTATGCTTCCTTTTTAAATTATGATTTTTCTCTCACTAAATGTTAATATTATACCCTCTCTAATGATGCTGTTTCATTCATTTAGTTGTCCATTTGTGGGCTCAAAATCCTTGGCATGTCTACAGTGCATTGTGCTATAGCACTGGAAGTACAACACTTTGCAACATTTACAAACCACTTCCTTCCGGAAACCTCCATGTCTCCATGTAGCCATGTGCCAGTGGATAGATTATCCACCCAGTACATTCCTTATCTGCCTATGCTGGACATGCACTGAGACAAAAAAAAGTGACGCATCTGGGTAAGGACTGTCTAGCTGCTTGCCCAACTGCAGCCACTATTGCTAAGACAAAACTGTCCGTCGATGAGTTGAGCACAAAAAAGGAAAGTAGATGGTGTTTATCCCCTCTAGTGCCTGCCACTTGGACTCTTGGTTAACAGACACTGACTAAAAACAAACTGAGAAATCATTCTCTGTTACAAAGGTCTTACTTTCTCAAAGGCTATGAAATAATTTCCCTTCTTCATATCTTAGTAGTAGCTTTCCTTTTAAAGTTATGTGTACAAATATTTTCTTCTTTGGATTTTGCATGCCACATTAATCTAAATACAAAGAAATGATGACAGGGTCAAACACTACCTACTGACAATGAAGCTGATTTGTAACCTAGTGTTAGCTAGGGAGTATGACATAAAGCACAGGAAATTAAAGCTTTGGTCTCAAACTTCCATAGCCAGCTGTGGAGGTATACTGTCATTATTGTACTGCCATTAAGGAAAAACAGAAAAGCATCCTTTGACATCTCCTGTAGCCACAGCTAACAATATTCAACTGGCCTGGAGCAACAGTCCTCTGGATGTGGCCTGGATGGGCAAGCCTCCACATAACACTATTAAGATATGATTTCCTCTTTAACACTTAACCTTTTCATGCTTATCAAAATGTAAAATGAAGTTACTTTTAAAAGGAATACTCTGAACAAGCAAGTCTTATAGTAAATTTCAGATATTCTTAAGGGTACACTACAATGAGCTTCCTGTGCTTCTTAATAGAGTTCATCAATAAGGCAATAAAGCAATGGCTTAAGAACAACAATACTTGACTTCACAGGTTTTAGGCATCATTTTTCTTTTTCCTGTTATGATGAATGCAACTATACATGTACTTTTCATGTAACGTTTGACTCTGTCATAATTCTTCCAAACTCTGTCCTTCTTAGCCCATTATTTTCACCAGTGAGCTTACACCTCCTAATATGTGTGCATCTATTTATTGTATTCATTTTCTGCCACCCAAGCCAGAATAAGGTAAGCTCAATAAAGGACCTTTCCCTTTGGTTGATTCATTGTTCTCACCACCAGGGAGAGATTCCCTAATACAAAACAAGTCTTCGTTGAATGAATGGATATTTTACTTCAATCATTTTATCATGAGAGAAGACAGAGCCTTACCAAGCCAGTTCTCAAACACATCCCAAAGACACATTTTGAAAGCACAAAAGAGGACACTGTGGCCAAAGGAAATCTCTCAGGACTCAACAGCTTGCTCCGATAGTCTCGGAAATGAAGGAAAATGAGAGGATGAGAGGCAAGGAAAGAAAACAGTTTAGGAAAAGTCCTGAGTGAAGAAGTACCAGGGTTTTTTTTCCCAGTCCCACGGTCCTATGAAGACAGAGGAGAATGAGAGGGAGCACGCGGACTCACCTCTCTTCTCCTGGTGGAACTCCTCCAGAAGCTGCCCCTGCCTCTCGATGTGCTCGAACAGACAGAGCAGCTCAGACTCCTTGTGCTCCGTCAGGTCCCTGAGCTCCTGTCTGCAGAGCATCAGCTGCTGCCGCATGTTCTTCTCTCTGCTCTCTCTCTCTTTCAGCTCCTCACAGAGCCACTGAAGCTTGGTCTAAAGACAAAAAGACATTTATATCTACTTATTAAAAAGCAAAATGAAAGTCTGGAAGACAACAGCCTATCTATGAGTCAAAAAAAAAAAAGTAACATTACAATAATCCCAACAAATAAAAGACAAATTAAGACACAATTTGAACATTTAATTTGCTTAAAGGTTTATAACAGTTAAATGTTATTTCAGGAATTAAGCTATGAAAGTCAAAAGATTTTTATAAAAATGCCCAGTGCATTCTATTGTCTTTAGAAAGACAACACTACAGTAGAGTTTGGCCAACCATGACACAGGTGGTAGTCCCTTAATTTGATATGTAAGACAATTTAGTAAAGCTATTTAAAAGTTTACAAAACACATGAGAATAGAATGACTTGGATTTAGAGATGGGGGAATGTTAATGAATACATTCATAGTTACAATGACTAGAAATACACAGTGCCATCCATCCTACAAATCCAGTAGATGGAAAGATTACAGGCTGGAAGAATGACACCAACAGCTCACATAATTAAGTCAGCCCATGCAACTCTTCTGCAAAGACTCTAACCTCACCCACCAGGGGTTTCAAGCAGAATGGGACTTACATTTTTCTACTTTCAATATAAAATGACTCTGTAAGTGCTGAGAATATCCAAGATAGGCCGTCCAAGCCCAGCTGACTTTCAATAGTCTTTACTATAGGCAGAAGCAAGTCGTGTGAAACATCTGATGGAAAGGGAAAAGCGGGCTCAGTGATAGAAGAGAAAACTGCTAGTGTACATGTGCAGACACTGAAACCCTGAAAGTCTGCTGGTGAAGGAGCATGTGGTCCACATGTCTGCTTTGGAAAACCATCACAGTTACAGAAAAGGTTAGACAGAGTTACCATATAAGCCAGCAATTCTACTAAGTAGAATAGATAAATGAAATCCATGAGAAAGCCATACAGGTATAGTCAAAGCACCATATTTACAACAGTCCTGAGAAACCGAAAGGTCCATCAAATGACAAATGGATAAATAAAATGAGAGCTACCCAAGCAATCAAATATGATGTCAGCATAAGCAAGGCAAACACAACATGACACAAAATGGGTAAACCTTGAAAACAACTTTTTCTATACAAAGAAAGGCAATCACAAAAGAGCATGCTTGTATGACTTCATTTATTTCCCATCCAGAATAGACAAATCAATAGAAACAAGGTGGTTAGTGGTTGAGCAGGACTGAGAGCTGGTGAAAGGTAGGCTGGCAAGTAACCGTGAAAAGTTAAGTAACAGTGAAAAGTTCTGATTTTCTTTCTAGGTGAAAAAGGGTTCTAAACTTGTGCTGATGGCTGTACAACTCTATAAACATACTAAAGGTACTAGGCATACCTCAACTGAGCGTGTGTGTGTGTGTGTGTGTGTGTGTGTGTGTGTGTGTGTGTGTGTGGTGTGTGTGTGTGTGTGTGTGTGTGTGTGTGTGTGTGTGTGTGTGCAGACATGGACATATAGGAGGGAGAGTACCACATACACAATTATGATGTGTATATGGAGGTTAAAAGCTAATGTCAGCTGTCTTCCTCTTCTGCTCTCTATTTTACTTTTTGAAAAAGTTCCCTCAGTGAACCAGGAGCTCACTGGTTGAGATTAGCTGGCCAGCAAGCTTAGGGGATCCTTCTGTTTCTACCTGGCCAGTGCCAGAATTACAGGTATATGCCACCAGGCCCAGCTTTTTACATGGGTGCTGGGGACCTGAACCCAGGTTCTCATGCTTGCACAGTAAGCACTTATTGACTGAGTAATCTATTGTTTAAACAACAACAAAAACCAAAAGGCATAGAATGTTACAGGGGCTAGAAAAACAAACCTGAAATTAAGCCTCCCTGAATAAATAAGATCAGGTTCCAAGTACATACTATGCAGTCTGTGGGCCTGTCTTATCTGGCTATCATTGAATAAATATGGATGTCCCTCAACTTCAATTGGGCTGTGGAAACAAACTATGACTAAAGAAATTAACAAATCCTGCCTTACTTTCTAACATTCCATTTAAAATATTCATGCAAATGCAAAGATATGAAAAGTTCAACAAGACAGGAGACAAGGATACACAATCAACTCCTTGCCAGATAAAAGGAACCATATCCACTGGGCCACTGAGGAAGGACACAGGGTTGGGCTGACATCGTTATCCTCATTCGTCAGAAAAGAGAGTGCTCTTTAGAAAATATAATCTCCATTCCAAGAGGAGCGTACATTGGAGGCTGGAAATCAAGGAATGGTAATACAACTGCAAGCAAATGAAGAACACGGGATGAGCCAAAACCTGCATATTTCAGATCTGACAGTTCCTCCAAACACACAGTCAGGTAGAAAGAAGAATCAATATTGGTGTCTAAGTTTCTAACTTATGAAGTATAAAACAAAACACCAGAAGCAACAAAGCCTTGGGAATGAGAAGTCAATGTCAGACTGGAAAAATGAAGATCTTGAGCCAATGAGACACAGAAGCAAAGATAACTAGGTGCATATAAGAGTATAGAGCTCAAGAGAATTGGATAAAGATGCAGATTATGGCTCAGCAATGGAGGCAGCCAAAGTTCTCAAAACAGATGATTATCCAGTGAAAATGACGAAGAGACAATAAACAGTTCAAGATGTGATAGATAAACGCCTCAAAATGAAGCAAGAAAGTGATCTTTCAAAGACAGGAGGTAAAGCCAAGAAGACTTCGGTGATGGAGCCCAAAAACTAAAATACAAGATAGATGTTCTCAATGTCAAGGACTATTGAGAAGAAAGATTAAGGACACTATGTAATTCTAAAAGAAGAATCCTTGACCAAATTACCTGTAGCTCACTCCATCTAGCCAAAATAGGACTGGAAAAAATGAGTGTCACACTATTATGGTGATTGTTTCTACTAGCACAAAGTAGGAAGAAAAGGAGATCATGACTCAAATTTTATTCTACTCATTTCTGCAGTATCAGAATATTTAAATTAAGAATGTACTTAAAGTATTATGTAATAAACATTATTCTATATAATACAACTACTAACTCTAGATATCAGCTGGAAACGACTTAGATACTAAGTCACGAATTTACTGATGGATAGACTACAAGAATGTACCACACAGCAAGATTCTATACTAAAACACAATGTGAATCTACACATCGTACTTTTTTTTCACTTCACAAGTTCTTGCTACTGCCTCAAGCCAAGCATCTGAAAAGCTTCCCTGAGCATCTGACCATTAGTGGCATGATGCAGTGGAAGAGAGGGTTAGATCTAGTTTTGGGGAAAAGGTGGCCTGGGCAGCCAATTCTATCTGCTATCAATTTGGCAGTTTAAACACATACATTTTTGTCCTTGTAAGGGATTTAGATCTTTAAGACTTCTACCAAGAATGTTATATCTTTACCTAAAATTTTCTGTAGAAAGGGCCAATGTCAACACATTGGCATTAGTATGATGTCATAGACTCTGAAGGATCTCACAAATGGAATTAAGATGTTTTAAGTTCTAAAATGATACGGCTCATGCATATGTCTATGTACATACATATATTTGTAATGGAGTTATAGAACACTGGTAATGAGGCACCACATAAAAGCCATGCAAAACCCCCAGTATCAGGCATAGGAAATCTCCCCTCAAGTTGTTGCCTGGAGGAATATGATAGTCTTCCAAAATAACATGAGCTATTACCATCACCTTAGTTGTCCTCTAGACAACTAAGAGCCTACTGCTGAAAATACAGTACACTTTGAACACAGGACTTGGAGGAATCAAGCTGGAACTGACCTGGATGACTCCTCTCTGAGAACAGGTTCTCATTGGATTGGAAGGTGCTTTGCAAGCTGCTAAAGGAAAAGAGTAATTGGTAGTCCTACCCTGCTGAAAAGCTTATGACCCACAATGACTGAACTGGTAAGACAGCCTCAATGGTACAAAAGTGGCACTTTTATCTTGGGAATGGAAAATCAACAGCTGTCTCATTGTACTTAAGACTTGTTCAACTAGAGAAAATCTGTGCCTGGTACTGGAAGCCCAGTCAATTACCCACAGATTGAGAAGTCAGAGACCAGGAGGAAAAACTACCACTACCATTGTTCCAAACCAACATTACTTTTAAATCTATTCTAAATGCTAACCTTTATAACTACAGATGAGTATAGCTCTCATCCCTCATCCAAAAAGCTCTCTATACAATAGACGGAGATTATTACCGAGATCCACCACTGGTCAAATTGAAGAGAATACAGGACTGTGGGGTGTCCAACCTCAACTGATACATCTGCAATATAACCCCTACAGAGGCTAGAATACCAGTTGCCAGATTCCCCTAGCCAAGACAGCACAAATGCACCCAACAAATCTCAACAATAGGGTTGCCTGAACAAGACCAGCATACTGAAAACTCCAATTGAGATGCCAATGTGGACAGCAGAAATTTCGCATGGTCTCATACCTAGATGAAGCACTATAAGTAGCCAATGGCTGCTAAGAAAATAGTTAGTTTCCTCCAGGGATGAGCTCCCACCATGTTGAATCTCAAGTGGTTACCCCTAGACCCAGGTACATACGAGCAACATTAAATGGACTCAGTAGGTTAGATATACATTGATGTGTGTGCCACACACGTGTAATGAAAACAATCAAAAAAGAGTCCATAATGGTGTGGGGCACAGGAGGAGTCTGAGAGGGGCGGGATTTGGGGCGGCGGGGGGGGGGGGGGGGGGGGGGGGGGGGGGGGGGGTGATACAGATATTGAGTGCTCATGAATGTACAAAGATCTCGAAATGAAAGAAACCACATCTTATACATTAGCAACAAAAAAGTCACATTTTAGAAGTAAAAAATCCTATTTCTCTTTTAGAATTAGAAATCTTAGCTGACATTAGTGACCATTCAAAAGTAGCACATTTAATACCTGCACACTACCAATTTGAACTACACAATACAGCACAAGAGAGATGGGCTAAAGTCTGCGCCTATGATTGGCCAGGTAACTACACTCTTTATCCATAGT